TCATTTGACTAATATCTTTCTTCTTTTCTCTTCACCTGTTTTTTCTATTTCCGTGAAACTGTCAATGTACAAATTGCGAAGTAAAACCAATAGCAGTTATCATAATTAAATACTTAGTCTTTATCCGTCATTTTAAAGCCGAATGACATCCAATATCCGCTTGTACGCCTCATCATTTGTTCTAATGTTGTAGGCTCTGCTTGTCATACGCATGTTAAAATCTTGAGCTTTCTTAGAAAATTTTAGAACCAGAATTTTAGAACATCTTTGCAGCTAGTAATTACTAATGAAAATTGGTTCTTCTTGGTACACTATCCAGAGTTACAGTATTGCTTCTAGTTTTGACTGAACTATTCGTGATCTTTGACACGGTAAATTACCGGAGACCGAGAATGAAAAACCAATTGGTTTTTATAGCAAAATGAACGTGCTGCTGATCACGTAAGCACTTTATTTGGTCACGTAAGCCAGTTATTTATACCAGACTAAATGTACTGCTGGTCACATAGGCGCTTTAATGGTCAAGAAGTGCACACAAAAGTGCACTTCTACCTTTGTTACTATTTACTAAGTTTAACCCATTTCTAATTTGTTTATCCATACTTTTGAATAGGAAACACATGTTCCTGACCTTAAAAGCTATTTAACGCAAAAATTTCTGCAATATTTGAATCCAGCACCCAAGAAAACATATAGAAGAATATATTGCACGCATATATTTGCGGAAAAATATTTTTTCACTAATTTTTATTAACTAATATTGTTTGATTTTTTATTTGAAATATATCATTGCAAATAAAAAATCAAACAATATGGCAGAAGCTATTGATCCGCGTAAAACTGTGTTTAACATCTCTGATGAAACCGTTTAAACATCATTGATGTTTAATCAATGATGCTTAAGCGGTTAAAATTAAATCAGCATTGACCCAAAGGAGGTTCTTTCAGAAGTAGAAATAAAATTTACTGATATTCCAACCGAAGCTAGAGAGAAAATTGATTTTTATAGACAGCAGTTAAAAGATTTGGCCAAAAAAAAATGATTGGGAGGAAGAATAAAATTGTTGCAAACGACTTAGAAGTGAGATTTAAAGTAATGTTTACCTTTGAGAAAGATTCTCTGAATCATCTTATGAAGTTAATGGTGTAAGATCAAGAGAAATATACTTTCAAAGTCCAAATTGAGAAGTATCGAAAATTTTACAATTCAGATAACGAAATATGGCGGAACACAATTTTGCTATTTAAAAGTTTATGCTGATTATTAATTACGCAATATAGGAATATGTCTCAATTTAAGGCCAGAAATATCAGACGTTGATCTTAATACAATTAACGAACTTATTGATACAATCAACAAACCTATTAGTAATTTTTTGGAAGAACACAAGTCGTCTTTTGGTTGATCCAATAATAACTAACGATACTTTAAAAAGATGCAATGGATTAATATAAGAAAAGAGATGCAAAGCACAAATGATCGTCTTGCTGAAGAACGAATTAAAAATATGGATATAGGATAAGGTGAATGATAATATTAATGAATATAAGAATAGATATAGGATAAGGTATAAAGGATTAACAACAAAAAAAAAATAAATCCATAAAGGACGGAGAGGAGATGATGGAAGATGGAAACATAGAAATCGTGATGAGGCTTTTCATGAAATTAATAATAATAACGTGCTGACCTTCATTAGAACACTAATTTATAATAAAAGGCTCACTTTTCGATACAAAATTATAATAATATTTTGTGAGCAGGGTATTACCTTATTTGCTGTTATTATCACTTGCAATTAATTCAATTATTGAGAGTCTCGACGGTGCTTCAAAATCAAAAATACTAGCCAGTAAGAAAGATGATAAGAAAGACAGTCAAAAGCAAACCCGATGGAGGAAAGTTTTTATGAAACATTGAAAACAGCTGCCAATTTCTAAGTATTATTGGTGAAATCATGTTCAGGATTTTTCTAACAACGCCCAATTTAGTTGGTTTTGTACCTCATAATTTGTGGGTAATTCTTGTAGTTATCATATTATGCAAAAAGATGAAATGTTAAAAAGAAGCAATTTTAATTTATAGAAAAATAAGTTACTACAAACCTGAAACAAGGTAGCACTTTTATCAGAAAGTGAATTTGGTCTGTTTTATCCCATAAGATTATGAAAGTGCATTTTAATGGCTTTCACAGTATCGAATTCCTGATAATATTTAAGCCAAACGCCCAAACCTGGTTATCAAGCTTCCGGCTGGCAGTGACGGACAGTACAAAGCAAAAGGGCCACATTACTTAAAGTGAATATATATATATATATATATATATATATATATATATATATATATATATATATATATATATATATATTCTCTTAAATAATCCTTCCTTATAAGGATATCACAATCGAATATAACAACCAGTTAGTTATTATCCCTATTAGGTTTTCTTTAGGTTTGACAGAAGTAAATAAATAAAAAAAAGAAAGCAAGATAAAACGAACAGAAACAAAGCCTGACCCAGGAGTAAAATACTCTGTGATAAGACCATAAGGACTTTTTAGAAAACATCTATAAAAAAAAGCCAGACGAATCAAAAACGGAGACAAAACTTAAAATTTAAAAGCTGTATTTTAGCAGGTTTTAGTAAACTTTCTTCAAATTAAACAATAAAATCTGTAGTACAACATGTTTTATGTCCTCTTGCCTTTTAAGATATGTTTTTTAAGAGAAAGGAAGAACTAAACTTTGACTTAACACACCCCTTGTCTTACGGTTTTGGTTGAGTAAATGCTAGAGATGGTGTGACAAAAATACTCATCTTAGGCAGACGTTAAATGCATTCGGATGCTGTCTTGTAGAAGATTTCTAGGCAAAGACTTAGGAGGTAAACAGATTTTATCTCTTGACCAACTTCGCACCCCGTCTTTAACTATTCTTAAAAGATTCTTTTATAGTACAATGTTGTCAGTATAAGATGTTAGTTGCTGGATTTTCTTGATTTAATGCATGTGTTATGCGTGTGTCTCGATTCTAATGACTAGGCAACTTATTCTATCATCTCCTAATGAAGGTACAGCTCTAAAACTCAGTTTTATAGTTCTGAGGCCGGCTGGGAGTAAGGTTTTTCGAACTCTGTGGTAACTCTCAGAGTGTTCTATCAACAGCTTTAAAGTATAAAAGTTTTAATAGTACCATGTTACACATGGGCGGTGTCCCTGTTTGTACTTTTGGTGTGCATTGTTGAGACAACATTTGGAGTCCTATCCAACGGCTTAGGGTTTGTTAATAGTATTGAGGTAATTAATTGAACTATTAAATAGTGCACTGAGTACAATCTGTGTGTCGAGTCAAGCTCTTTAACAAATTAATAAATCTATCATTCACAAATTTTCGCGGCCTTTGAAGTAACTGTTCTTCTGTTGATACTTATCTCTTGCAAAGTTTACCGGACCTACTTGCTCTTTATGAGACTAATTTGAGTTCAGCTGTCTCATCTTGTGATCTTAGTATTGATAATTATCTTTCTTTAATTTGTAAAGATTTCAATAGTCACATGCTTGGCCTCGGCATTTACTTTTGTAAGAAATTGCCTATTTGTCGGGAAACTTGGTTTAAATTCACAGACTATTTTTTTATGCGCATTCGTTTAGCATCACATCACCTTTCTCATTGTTCTATATTGCTCTGTTTCATTTCAAGAATTTTTGATGTTATTTCTGATTATACTTTAAAATTGCTTAAGCCACCTTTATTACTTTTTTATCCACAATTACTTAAATTATGCTAAAACTGCTTGGGGGAGTACTTTAAAAAGTACTTTAAAACTTCTTTATTGTCTTCAAATACATGGGATCCGCATAATTAACTATACTTATTGTTTTACACATACAAAACTTATACTAAAATGAGTTATAAATTATATAAATTATAATAAAATTTATTAAATTTATTTGAAACCAATTTATTTAAAGTTTTACGACTTGTCTATTTATGGAAAAATAATATATCCCTACCGTTTTTGATAATATTTTCGGACTCAAACCTAACAACAAATATGATATAAGAAACAAATGAGCTGTTCTCAATCAATAATATATATTCAGAAAAATAAATTTTATGGATATTTACAAATAATAATTTTACTAATCCTTGTTTTATAAACACAAAAACTATAATACATATAAGTTAGTCGTATTTACATGTAAATAAAGTTGTGACAACCACATTCATATGGTGAAACTGATACTACTAGAGCTATGTTTTGACAAAAAAAAAAAAAAAAATTTATATTAATAGATGTCATTAAGCCTGCGAGGGGTCGAATTGTATTTTTTTGATGACAATAGTTTATCTGCTTTTAAAGCTATATTTAAAGATATGTTATTCAATGTGTCTATCGATAAGTAACATTATTTTGTAAACCACAGTTTTCAAGCTTTTTACTGTATTATACAAACCTGTTGAAAAAACAAGTTGATTTTAAAAATTAAAGTGTTTTCTATTAGCAAGTATGGGGTAACTTAATACAGCTTTGTTGGGGGGCCCAAAAACTGTAGAATAAAACTTTATTGTGTCATAAATCACTTTGAAATCACTTCTTTCAATATTTACAGTCAATTATTAACATATTTATGTAAATTTAATACTAGGAGATCAAATTTCAATGCAAAGCCATTATTTATTAACGCTTAAGAATGATATTTAAAACGATATATAATCGATAATATATATATAAACGATAAAATAATTGTGGTTTGGACCATTGGATTAATTTTTCGATTTATAAATATTAATTTTTTTGTCTTTTAAGTGAAAATTTGCCTTTTCCCAAAGTTTTATACTTTTTATCTACTTTATTAATAATGTTCAAAGTTTGTATCAAAGTACCCCAAGATACCATGATACAAATTTCTAATTTTACAATAAATTACTTTTAAAATAGTCTTACAATATTAACTTATAATATTTTAGTAAGTAATAAATTTAATTTTGAAGGTATTAATTTATTCTAAAATTAAACCAATTGCCTATAAAAAAAAAGAGTATTATAAAAAATTTTATGACGCAAAAACCAAAAGTGTATTATGTTGCCCCACTCTCCTCTACATACATACATACAGGTTATGTATGGGTTAGGATTTAAATATGCCAGTATTTTTCAGAAAGATATTTACCAAATACTTATTTTTTTATAAAGTAAAATATTTAAGAAACTTCTTCAAACTAAAATACAGAGAACGAACACTAGAAATGTATAAAATATAGTTCAAAGGTGAAATATTTTTAAAAAAATTAAAGAAACATATTTTATACTACACGGTACACTTATAGAAAAAAAAAGTTTTTTAATTAGATATCAGATTTCATATCGTTAACTGAACAATTTACAAAACCTAATGATCTAGATTCTATTTGTAGTTTCAACGATTCATCACTTGTATATCTTTCACTCAACGGCTCGTTTGCTTCATCGATAATTTTTTCAATTGATTTTACATGCACAGGTTTTTGGAAAATATCTTCTTCCAATGCATCGTCGCCTGATTCAGATGGTAGACTGTTAAACGAAGCAGCGTTATAGTAATTATTTTTTTCATCAATACTAAAGTCGAAATAACAATCGCCACGAGACATTATTTGATCAAGATTTTCACGCAATTCTGTAAAAGTAGGTCTTTGTAATGGATCTTCATTCCAACAGTGTAGCATAATATCGTACCTAAACAACAAAACCTATAAAATAAAATTAAACAACGAAATATATAAAAAATGTATTATAAAATGAAAAAAAATAATCATAAGTAATTAAAAAACAGCATTTCTAAAAATTTATAAAAACATAACAATATAGAATACATCGACTCAGAACAATTTTCAGGTCTTTCCATTCTGTAACCAGACTTTAAAAGAGTGAGAAGTTCCCGATTACTTATACTAGGATAAGGAGTTCCTCCTGTGAAATAAAACAATAAAAACACAAGTTTAATAAAATAAAAATTTTAAAAACCACTTAGTTTAATGTTCAATAATTTTTATTAACATTTACCTAATGTAACAATTTCAAATAAAACAACGCCATACGCCCATCTAAAACAAATATTAATACATATCATTAATAAAATTAAGACAGAGTTTTAATTTTATTAATGATATCCAAACTCAAACTTCTAATAAACAGAAGAATATTATCAATAAAAATCCGCCAAAACTTTTAAAAACGCAATTTAAAATTTACACATCACTGAATGTTGTGAACATTTGGTCAAATATGGCTTCAACTGACATCCACTTTACTGGTAATCGACGATTTTTGCTGCTCATGTAATTCAATTCATCGTTGATTTTTCGTGTCAAACCAAAGTCAGATATTTTTACATTTTTCTCTGTACCAACCAAAATATTTCTAGCTGCAAGGTCACGATGCACCAACTTGATAAATGAAAGATATTCCTAAAACAAAATTATTAATGAGTCAAAATTAAAAAAAAAAAAATTAAAATTAAAATAAGAAACTAACATAAATACCATTCCCGATGCAATCTGCCATGCAAAACTAAGCAAATCATCAGGTGTTATCACTCCATTATCATCTAATGGAGCCTCATGCGGCATTATTCCTGACGTGCAGCTCTCACTTATTGTTGTCTGAATAATAAGTTAAAAAACAAACATCAACATTAAAAGAAAAAACAATTCTCAAAAATTTTAATTAATTTATTAGATTAAATTAAATGTACCTCAAGAGTTTGTTGATAGCCTTGTGTGTACATAAAGCTTATTGCAGATTCCTCACCAAATTTTGATGAACAAAGCTACAGAAACATTATATAATGCAAGCTACAAAAAAAAACTATTTTTTTTAATTTTAATGTTCTTAGCGTTATTGATATAGGAAAGAATTTGTGTTGATATTTGTTTAATTTTTATTTACGTATATATTTTAAATATATTTCAGTTAGTTATATGGCTATATATTTAATTGTAATATATTATTTTTGTATTTCATCAAAGAATTAGTCAAGGTATAATGTAATTATACCTTGACTAATTTTTTTATGAAATATATTTTGTGCCGAATGTATACAATAAAGTAAACTTGTAAACCTAAATCTTTTAAATGGTGTGTTCATCTAAGTTAACATAGAGCTATCCTTATCTAGTGGAATCTACCATTAACCTTGGTTTGTATCTAGCTTTGCAAAATTGCTCGCACCACAATTACTCACTTTCTTTGAAAGTGGGTAATTGACAATGTTTTCTTTTTATAGCTTTATTTAAGTTTTCTTTTTAATCCATTATTGTTCGTTTGATTTTTTCACAAATAAAAAGTTTGCCCATTCAGTTGCTTCTCTACTTTTTTATTGCTCCAGTTTTTCCCACTTCATCAAATTCTTCTTTTATTTCTTTTTAAGTTGACAGAAATTTTCATTGGAGAATGATTAACAAGATTTAGGTGGTTCTTTAATTTGATATGATGTTTAGGTCCGATCAACCTAAATTGGTCAGGTTTAATTACCCCTGATTGGTCAGGTCCTATTTCCTCCAATCCATTAAATAATTTTGGATACATTTTTAGTATTTCATCTTTAAACACTTTTTTTTCTTGTTTTCTTTCAAGATATTTTTTTTTTAAAAATTCTGATTCACTCCCAATAAGGCTGCAAGAAACTACTATTAAGTTAAGAATTACAAAAAAAAAAAAAAAAAATTTATAGGAGTTTGTATGAATCAGGAAAATATTAAGATGGGATAGAGAAAAAACTAGACAAATAAAAGTTTTTGCATGCAAGGACAGATACAGTAAAATAATGAGACTTTGATGAATGACGAGTACAGCGAGAATGAGTTATAGTTAATGAAACTAAAGATGGTAGCTCCTTTGAGCAGCAACCATATTAGTATTAGTAGTAAAAGAGAAGAAGATGCAACTTTACAACCATGGGAAAGAGACTCAAGTTAAGCAAATAGAGTGGGTCTAACTATGTTTACAATGCGTTTTTGGATCTTGTCTAGAAGAGAAAGAGCATCATTAGAAAAACCAGCCCAAATATGACAACAGTATTCCATACTAGGACAAATAAGAGATTTGTAGAGATAGAGAATGGAATCAGGAGAGAGAAAATGGCAAGCACAATAAAAAGAGGCAACCTTAGCAGATCCTAATTTAGTAATCGATTGCATATATGGTTTCCGTGGAAGATCAGTTGCAAACAATAATTCAAGAAGACATAAAGAAGAGAGACCACTCAGTGAGAAGGTTGCAATTCATTAATATAGGAATGTTGACAGTACTGCAATAGAGTTTTGTTGGAGTTAAAATTCATAAGCCGCTGTGAGCCACAGAAGTGAGATCAGATTCAAGATCAGCTGCCTGTTCTAAGCAATTGAAAAAAGAAGACTTTTTGTTAAGACAGGAGTATAAAGTTGAGTCATAAGCAAAAAGAGCTACTTTAAATGTAAGGTTATTGGGAAGATCAATAATGTAGATGTATAAAAAAAACAGGACCAAGAATAGAACCTTGAGGTACCCCAGAAGTTACTGAAAATAAAAAAGAATGTTGGCTTTTGAGGATGACTTTATTAAAGCGGTTAGAAAGAAAAGATTTGATAATCTCAAAAATAGATAGACCATATGAATTAAGATACACCATATGAATCAAGCTTATGGAGAAAAACTACATGCCAAACATTGTTGAAAACCTTAGATACGTCAAGAGCAATAGCCCTACTTTCTCCACTTCAATTTAATGGATGATAAAATCTTTCAAACAAAATATCAGTTAGCAAGTCAGCAGTTCTCGAGTTGCTTGGTGTTGCACTTGTTCGATTAAAATTATGTCCTTTTTTTGTCTCTCGTAGAGAGAGAGAGAGAGAATTGAAAACCATATTGACTGTCTGACAATAATTTATTTGACTCACGTTGAGATGTGAGTAATTTGTTTACTTTTAATGTTTTACTTTGATTAGATAAGAATTTTTTTTTTGCTGTTGACAATTAGCCTCTTTTATGTTGAAGTCTTTAGTTTTTACTTCATTTAGTAATTTTATAAGTTGCAATTCTTGAGAAGTTTTTAGGCTGACAAGTTTGTTTTTTGTTTCCACTACACAGAATTTGGTGTTGTTACTTCATTGTTGTTACGTCTTAAGAAGTTTGTAGGCTGAGAACAAGTTGTTTTTTTTTCCCAGTACATTGAATTTTACCAATTTTTTACAATTTTTGTCACATTATTTATATTATTGCAACCACTGTAATTTATTTACCAATATTAGTGTGGTAATAAAATGCGGTATTTTGCATGCTCTAGTTATAGTCTAGGGCATCCAAAATAATGCATTTTACTAATATTGACAACAAGGCAATACATTTTCCAATACCAGTAACGCTAGCATCATTCATAAAATTATAAAAACCAAAACAATATTTTAGCTATTGTCAATCGATTTATCAAAATTATAAAAAACATAAAGTATAAGCATTTTTTATTACAAAAATTATCCCCTCCTCATATTTCAAATACAAAAATTTTTCAAAATATTAAAGCAAAAAACTTTTAATTAGTTCAACATTTTGCTGTATTTAACTAAAAATCAGGAAGTTATTAACTAAATGAAAAAAAAAAACTATTCTAAAAAAGAATTAACAATTTTTGTGATTGCAGTGAGAAACACATATCTTAGTTTTACATGTCTTAATGTAAACACTATTCAAAACTAAGTTAATATTCTATCGGACTGTTTTTAGTACTTTTGCCAATATGAAATTTAAATATGGTAAAATTCAGAAATAAAATAGAATGAAGCAGAATCGAAAAATTTTGGCCTGTTTTTGATAACAGTTAAAAAAAAAAAGGAAACAAGATTACAAAGTTTGACACGCTATTTTTAGTTCTAATTGGTAAAACACAGCTGTTAGGTTTTGAATAAACAAATTAGTTGTATACCTTTTTAAAACATTTTCAATCAAGTTATAAGCCAATGTCAGGAGGTCAGATGTATAATAATCATAATTAACCTGCTACTGATAACATGTAATTCCAGTGCAACTTGTTCCATGTCCTGCTGCCTTGCTTTCTCAGCAAAGATAAAGACTAGAAGAAGTGTAACTCCTGTTATCAATACTATTTAATATCTATCATGCCTATAGTAATATGTATATATATATATATATATATATATATATATATATATATATATATATATATATATACATACATATATATATATATATATATATATATATATATATATATATATATATATATATATATATATATATATATATATATATATATATATATATATATATATAGATATATAGATATATAGATATATAGATATATAGATATATATATATACACACACACAGTGGGTACAAAAAATCTGACACAAAGGAAAAACTTATTTAATTAAAACCCATTCAACAAAATAACATAAGCAAACACTATTCTAATGTAATTTTACATATGAAATACAAAATATATAAAAAAAACAATATTAAATGTTGACTTGAAAATTGCTTTATTTACGATGTGTTGGATACTTTTTATTAGCCAATAATTTGTCATCCGTTTTGTGCGAGGGAATATTCTATAATCAGAAAATGAAGGAATATGCTAGAATGCAAAATTACATCATAGAAATCTTTCCATCTGCAGCCATTCACTATCAAACATCGTGATTAGAAGGAGGCTTAAAATTTGTGCTTTTCAACAATGCCTAAAACTGCAGAATTGTCTAAAACAACTAGAAAATCAAATATTCAGCTGCACAAAGATAGTTTGGGATATATAAAAATTTCATTTGTGTTAAATATCCCAATTTCAGCAGTTGGTGATTCCGGAGATAGAAGGAGGTGGAAATCCTTCCATCTTTCAACTAGTCTGCTTCGTTCAGGGAGTTCATTTCTAACTATATGGCTAGGAATTTAGTTTGAAAAGTACAGATAAATCCTCAACTGACTTGCTCTGAACTGCAAAAGGACTTGCAATCATCTGGGACAAATGTATGCAAGAATACAATTACGACAGTTCTTCGAAAGAGAGGATTCCAATCTTGGTCACCAAGAAAAACCCACCTCTTGAAAAAAATTCATGTAAAAGAACCACCTGAACTTTGTTAAAGAACAATTGAGTAAACCTTCAAGCTTTTGGGATAAAATTTTATGGTCAGATGAGACTAAATTAGAGTTGTTTGGTCGAAACTGTGTCAGTGGTGTTTGGAGACAGAAGAACTCTGTGTTTGACCCAAAGAATACCGTCCCAAGAGAGAAGTTTAGAGGTGGCAGCATAATGCTTTGAGGATGTTTCTCTTCTACAGGTCCCAGGGAATTGGAAATCAAAGAAGGAAGGATGAACTGTATTGGAGCATTCTTGAGAGATGTCTTATGAAGTCAGCCAAAAATTTGAACCTTCCTCGATTTTAACAAGACAATGACCCTAAGCATACGGCTAGGACAACTCATGCATAGATTCAGGAGAGAGAAATTGACTTATTGGAATGGCCAAGCCATTCCAATAAGTCACCTCATAACTGACCTCAATCCAATTAAAAATCTGTGGATGGAACTGAAATTGAGGGTACAGGAGAGAGATCCAAGAAATCTTATCCAATTGAAAGAAATATGCAAGGAAGAATAGGCTAAAATTCCTATTAGCATATGTGATAATCTTGTGAACAAGTATTCCAACCATTTAGAAGCAGTTTTGGCTGCTAAAGATCACATGACAAAGTATTGATTGAATTTATTTACAATGTGTTGGATTTTTGAACCTAAAATTTTACAATATTGCAATTATCAAGTCAACATTTAATA